TTTCTATTGACCTCTCAATTCCATAAACTTGAGTCAATTGGTAACTTACATCATCACAAAAACTTCTTTAAACTTGTCTCATACCTCTTTTAGATATGTAGATGAATATTAAAGAAAAATAATAGCAAATAATATTCTTAAGTGCTTCTCCACTTTTATTATGGAGGTTGTTTGAAGTAATGATTCTACTTTTTGCTATCCTCCAATAATCCCATTTTTAAGCATGAATTCTTAAAATTTGGTTGTAGTACTCCATCTATAGTTGGCAAATCTTCAAATAAGTGTGGTCCACATATCATTATTAGAAGAAGTCGAAGATAGAAGCTTTTTTTAATAATAGGATCAACAAAATATAATCTTTTAATTATAAATCTATATTATCTTATTATCTATTTCTTTGAGGTCATATTCTACACAAAATGCTATAAAAACTCTAAATATTTTTATTGCCAAGGAGTCTCTATAGATTTATACATTTCAAAAAATGTTGTCAAACTTGTTTTTTGGTGCTTTTCATAGGCTAAGACTTTCCTTGCATCATAATTAGATCAAAAATTATTTAATGCATTCTAAAAAGATTTAATGACAATTGAACCACATTTCAAACTTTCTCATGTATTTTCATTCCAAACAAAGGCTATGCTTCTTTTGAAGCTCTAATAAACAATGTAATAATATAATATTTGATTTTATCTTCTTGATTTCTAATTTGTATTGTTGTACAATCATGCCTTTTATAGATGTACATGTAAATATATTTCATAACACAAATTGAAGTACAAACTTCAATATTAACATGACAATTATACTTTTTGCTAAGAGTAGGATTATATGGAATAATATCTCAATTGCTTACAATACAATTATCAACATTTTAAAAAAAAATCCATCATTCTTTCTATGATATTCAAGATAGCCATCACCATCCATTGATATTACTTCTTAATATTATTTTTGATATTTCTTTTAGCATATTCTATCCATTATGCATGGAGCTTGCATATTTTGAGGTCCATATAGACCATGAATCATGTGAGTGCTAATTGTCTCAAATAACGGCAAATCTTCTTTCTTATTAGGAAACTCTATGCTAATAATCTTATTAATATTGGATGGATCTTTTATTTTGTTATTTTGTTTTAAAAAGAGCTAGAAGTGCAAGTGCAAAAGACATTTCTTTTGAAATTCAATAAAATACTGTCTTGCAATTGAATGTTCTAAAATATGATGCTTATAAATATCTTCAATTAGTTCATAATTCTTGACTTCAAATATTCTCGCTATCAAGTTGAGACAATCTTCAAGAGTTTGTTTAGAAAGAGTGTACTTGAAATCTCTAGCCACCAAGGATTTGCAATCATTATTCCAAATATATTTGAATGTTTAAAGTATCAAGTAATGGCCATAGGATCTTGAAAATTTCAAACAAATTTCTTGTACTTCCAATACAAAACATTGAAAGAATTATCCTTTGCCTTAGATTCTGCATGTCAACTTCTTGGTTTTACACATCTCCAAAAATATCTTATACATCTGCATACAACCTATCTTGATTCATATTCAAGATATTCAAGTATCTTCACAAACAAAACTGTGTTTAACAAAAGCAAACAAAGAGTAATCATGTCGTCAAGTGACTCATTGTTCGTGCAATGCACATATGTCGTACATTAATATAAAATAAAAAAATAAAAGATGCAGTGAACAGAAATCTGACATTACGTGTGTTATTAGCCGTCGTCGGAATCTCAACATGTTTTTTTTATTTATTTATTTGTTTTTGTTGACATTCATCCCCCTGAGAACGCGTTGAGGGGGGTGCTCCTAATTTAAATCCGCGCCGCTCCCTCGTTATCTGCTGCAGCTTTGCCGTTGTCGACGTTGTCGTCGCCTTCACTCACGCAGTCCAGCCATGGCGAACTCTCCAATGAGCGCGGCGTTCGTCTTGCTCGTGGCGCTGCTGGTGGCCGGCAAGCCAGCGTATCACGCTCGAAAATGCTTGCAGTTTCAGTACCACGTGCATGAGACTCGAGCAGACCCCGCCTCTACGACCCTGACGGTGGTTGGAATACATCGTTTGGGATGGGGACCCTCCTCGTGTTTGACAATCTGATGCGGGAGGGAGCAGCTACAGATTCCAAGCTGCTAGGAAACGCGACGGGCACTGCGACGGTGGCTTCCGCTCAAGGATCAGCGGTGGCGTTCAAATTTTGAACCAGGTCACGTTTGGGCCGGGCTCTCCTTGCAATGGCTCCAGCATTCTGTTCATGGGCACATTCGCTGGACGCGCTGCGCCTAATAAAAAAGGTGTGGTGGGAGGGACTGGGTATTTTCGAGAAGTTCGCGGGTGTGACCTGGCTTGGCCCGGCCCTTCCTCTCCCCTGTACACGGTTTTCTATAAGTTGAGCCTTTGCCTGTCGGCGGATCCAGATCGAAGAAAATATTGTGTTTCACCTAATTCTGAAATGAGTTGGGTTGTGTCGGTATGTAGATATCGTTTGTAGAAGATTCAATTGCTTAGGTAATGTGGTCGGCGGCTGAAAATTTATTGGTTCATTGCTTTTTTCTGGAATCCCATTCATGATTAAGTCTAGGAGATACTATCACACCTTCATCCTTACTTGCTTCCTCGTAAGGTGGAAGGGTTATGACCGACCGTTGATAGGAGAATCGTGATGTTGGTGTCAATTAGGCCAAACCAGGACGGACAAAATGCTCGTGCCAGCGCTAGAGTGTTGTAGACTGCAGAATGTCTGTAATTTCATGGAGCCAACAGATTTCGGTTTACAATAACAATTTTTTTTACATCTGTAACACCCGAAACATATAAAACAATAATTTTTGAACATCTTAGGATATTCTCTGAAGACCCTCGGCACTTTTCGTGTACGAGTAAGAGCTCTCTGCTTTAGATGGCAAATATAAATAATGTGGTGTAATCTACGCATTCTCTAACAATTTGGCTCTGGCTTTAGCACAGTTGATCTTCATAAAAGTTTTTACTTCAAAAAAGAAAAGAAAAAGAGGGACGAAAACCTGATTACTATCTGTGGAAACAATGGTTACCAGAAACATTGTGATTGTTAATCAAATATAGTAGTCAGATCGAGGAGATCAGATACAAGGATGTTAGCATTGCTTGTAGGCGCGTTTACCGAACAAGACCTTCCACATTACCGGATATCGTTCCCAGCAGCTTAAGCAGTTTGACAGAACAGGTAGCCACCTAGTGCTCTGACCTTTCCAATTCATCCGACTGTCATCCATTCGTGTCAATAGGGATATGCCGGGTAGCTGACTAACATTTTGTACGCAACCAATTGTTGGGCTGTCCAATAATATTGGCAGCAGGGCTCACCGATTCCAAGATAAATAAATAAGTAAAATAAACGGTTTTTGGTACGAATCTTTTTAGTTAAACAATTTTTATTAAAATGTTTTGGTACGAGAAGCAATTTGGATCTTCTGATCATCCGGTACCACGTACCAGCTGGGGGCTATTCCTACAAAGCCGCAGCTTAAGTAGTTCTACACCAAGACAATCCAGTTTTTGTAAGGGCATATAACAGACGTTACAGCTCAAAACTGAACTTGTTAAATACAAATGTCGTTATAAGATGCTCAATACACAAGGGGGCATCAAACTACACAAGTGACGTCGCTTAGAAGACTGATGCATTAATATGCTCACAACTTCTCAGAAGTAAAATCAAACAATATGAAATCGCTCAGTTATCAATTGCTCTAGCAGAAGGAAGTAATAATGACCAAAGGGATTCTCGGACAGCAAAAAGTAATTTCTTGAGAACTGACTGCAATCCCAGATTCGAGACAATATTCTGACACACTTTAGTATCATCATCGCCAATCCACCTGGACGATGGGTACTCAACTAGAACTAAGAAAAAAGATACGAACTCATCTTCATATTGAATGGGCCAGTTTCTTCACAAAAGTTTCAGCAAGAGTAAACGTAGTTAATCACCGGGAAAACGAATCAATTAAGCTACCAGAAATGAAAGAGCTCGGGCATCCAAGCCTGGTCTCTTCGGATCTGGCTATTACCCGAGATCAGACTCTCTGGACTGAAACAATTCGGTGACATCACCGCCAACTCAAGGGCAGAAGACAAGACTACCACATGTCCAATTGCAAGTCCAGCTATTATGTTGAAATCATCCTCATGTCATCGATCCAAGACTCTCCCCATTGCGAGCTTTGGATACAACTGATATGAAAAGTCGTTGAGAAAGCAGATGTCTAAATTCCCTCAGATGTTTCTATGGTGTGAAGGTCATAACAGCACGGTTCACTAAGTGTGGTGCATGACATTGATCTCATCACAGGAAACATCAAGTTTAGATGTTATCAGAAGCTACTCATTGGATAGAATCCTGATAATCGTAGTTAAGGTGAACGCTTCCACCTGGTCAGACACTGCTTCAAAGCCAGGTAGAACAGAGGGATATCATCTGACCTTCAGAAACTTCCAGCGCTCTACGTGCTACCAAATTCAAGCACGAGTCACTCCAGTTAATCTATCCTCCACCTAAAATACTCAAACACGAATAGAATAAAATCCACATAAATCCTTCAGAGTACTATTCGTAGTTGTGGTAATTGCTGTCAGGCACCCGAATAAAAAATTTAGTTATCGCGATTTCCTTGTGAACTTCTCAACACATCCAACAGGCCAAGCTAACGAGACACGATATTGCTCAGACAAAGACTGTCGGAAAGGATGGGTTTCTTCATGGCTTCCTAGCAGTGACAAAAATCGAGATGGGATTGTCGAGTCCTCAACGCAGTGCCGCGCCGGGTTGTAGTTTCACTTTTCATAGGAAAGGAGAAACCTAAAAGAAAAAAAATAACAAACCAAACCAAATTCTAACACAATCAGTACGAGGGGATCCTCGTACTAGCAAGGTCATCGCAGACCATATCTCCACACGACCAAACCGACTCATCGATTTTTTTCAGCTGCAAATTTCTACTAGATATCACAAGAGAAAAGATCATGTTCACATGATCGCTGACTCTAGTCGTTGAAAAGGGGATAGATTTCATTTCTGACACTCACACATATTACCCTAACTAAGGGCATTCTCCAACAACCCGAGGCGTATGATCAAATCACCACGATTGCCCCTCTCATAAAACATTCAAAGGGGAATTTCACCGCTATCCGCAATAAATACCTTACTCTTGGGCGTTCCTCCTGAGGTGCCCTCAGCCTCCACTTTGTAAACAACATCGAGTCCGCTCAAGACCTTTCCGAAGACCACATGCCTGCCATCCAACCAGCTGGTCTTCACAGTACAAATGAAAAACTGGGAGCCATTGGTGTTGGGTCCGGCATTGGCCATGGACAAAATTCCGGGGCCGGTGTGCTTCAGTCTGAAGTTCTCGTCCGCGAACTTCTCCCCATAGATCGACTCTCCCCCACGGCCATTCCCGTGCGTGATATCACCGCCCTGGATCATAAAGCTAGGGATGATGCGATGGAAAACGCTGCCCTTGTAGTGCAGAGGCTTCCCACTCTTGCCATTCCCTTTCTCCCCCGTGCACAGCGCCCGGAAATTCTCCACCGTCTTAGGTGCAGCCTTCCCGAAGAGGCCGATCACCACTCGTCCCACCGGCTTGTTATCAATCTCCACATCAAAGTAGACCTTGCTTGTGACCTCGTCCAAAGCCTTCTCTCCTTTTCCTTGCACGCTCACGAACACGGCAAACAGCGCCAGCGCTGTCAAACACACAGCGAGGCTCCTCTTCGCCATCACGACAAACCCACAACCTCGAATTCAGAAGCACTGCGAACGTGATTTCCTCGATGACGAGCCTTATAGGGTTTCGCCCGTCATTGCCATTGCGCACAAAACCCTAAATCTCGGGTCAAAGTCGAAGTGGCTTTCGAAGACGAAAATTAGCCGTAATCAAGACTCCAAGCAGCGTGATTAGAGGTCATGAGTCGTATTTGACCACCTTCGAAGCTGTCCTCTCCGAGCTCTGGATAACTCTAAATAATTCTGCTAAATGTCGTCATTGGCGTAGTCGATTGGCTATGTATTTATCTATGCTCGAAAATGGACTAGTCAACATAAAAAGTAAAAATAGAGAACAACTTCTCTCTGTAAAAATGATGAGCTTTGGCAATGCTAAAATCATTCATCCATGTTGGCTTTAAACTGGTGGGGTAGTCTTTTATTTAGAATGATGGAGAGTGGTGAATAATTTAATTGAAAGTTTGTGATGTTATTCTAAAATATTTGAGTTATTTTTTTAAAAATATATATATATATATAATATTAAAGTTGCTTTTTTTACAAATCTAATAAATAAAATTATAAATAAATAAAAGTTTTTTTTATAATTTAATTTTTTATTTTTAAATAATATTATCTTTATTTTTATATAAATCAATAATATAATCAAAAATCTTTATTATGAATTAAAATTTTAACTAAAATAATATAAAAATACTTTACATGATAGTGTGAACTTTCTTAGGATCCATTATAAGACATCATTTAAAATGATGTATCTTAAGAAACCAACTTAAGTTGTATGAAATATATACTTTTTTAACTTGGCATATGGTCTTGCATCTTTAAGTTTTTGTTATATATGACAAACATAAAATTTATGTTTTTTATTTTTAATATTGATTAAAATATTGTCTAGATAATAAATGATAAAATCATCTAAAAATTCTTAGAAGATATTATTCATAAGGTATTGAAAAGCAAATAATGCATTTGTGAATCCATAAGGCATGACATTATATTCAAAATGTCCAAATTGAATTCAAAACATAATTTTTCATCCATCTCTTCATTTGATACATACCAAATTGTATACTCTACGCTGATCTATTTTAGTATAGATCTTTACTTGATTCAATTGATCAAAAAGACTTGATATTAAGGTACAAGATACATATTTTTGATGGTGATATTGCTGAACCCTCAATAATCTATACACATCTATAGTGATTTTTTTTTTTTTTTTTTTTATATATATATATTAATAAGAAGGAAGTTTCTACTAGAGATTTTGAATGGCGAATGAAATTTTTAGCAAAGTTCTTATCAATGTACTCTTTGAATGCAACCAACTTGTTCTATAATAATATATAGATTAATCCAAATGGTGGTTGAGTTCCTTAAAGATCAATTGAACAATCATAAAGACGATGTTTTGGAAGAATATTTGCATTTTTTTTTCCAAAAACATCTTGATAATCTTAACATTGGCTTGAAATACCTCTTGAAATCTTTCTATAAAAACATAATAGGTTTGGTGTTAATAATAAAAGATGAATTTTTTTTTTCACAATATGCCTAAAAGCTTTTGTATCTATTAATAAGGATTTGGTTATATTGGAGTTATGACTTTCTACTTGAATAACAAAGTTGTAGATTATGCTACAAAAAAAATCAAGGTTACAAGAAATTTAATGTATTTGTGGATTATACCTCTCTAGTTTTGATAATTCTAAAATAATTGTATTGAAAGGAGATTTTATTATATTAAATATTACTAAGCTTTTATATCTATTCATTACTACATTTATAGGAATAGTTTCATGAATAACATCTCCAAAAGACAACTAATGACCATCTATGACTTCTATATGCATGGACTTAGTTTTCTTCACTAGAGATATTTCTTGTTTTTTTAATAAAGTCTTTGTTTATAAAACAATTTAAGGCTTCTAATCTATCAAGAAAAATATTTTACAATTTTTTGGTCTTAAAAAAACATCTATTATGAAGCAAGGTGAGAGATTTGAGGAAAGAATACGATCTTTATTAGGTATTATACAAAATTCTAGCTCCATAGTTTCTATTGTAGCTGAAAAAATTTAATTTTTAGAACATCATTTTTTTTAACAACCATACTACTTATTTTATAATTAAGTTGCTTCTTTAAACAATATTGAAGAGTGTATTTAGGTTCTTTATAAGATAAGCATAAACCTTCTTAACAATGTTGAATCTTTTTTTATTTAATGAAATTTTTTAAATATATGATATTAATTTGTATAGGTTCCAACTTTAACAAATAAGTTTTTGAAAACTTAAGAATTGTTATAATGAATTGACATATTTCTCTTTAATTGATTTTTTTATTCTTAGAGTTTTTTAAAAAATCAATTGTTACATACAATAGCTTGAAAAATAAATTATTTTAATGAATCTACTCTCAACATTGTCAATAATAAAGCTTTTACATTAAATTTTAAATCATAGTAAAATTGATTGATAAGGGATTTTTCATTCTAATCCATGTTGTAATAAAATTTTAAAATTTAGCAACGTATATAATAGTTGAATGTGATCTTTATTGTAAAGATAGAAGTTTAATCTCTACTATCCTTTATTGATCACTTTTTCTATATCTAGTCTTAAACACTTCCAAGAATGAATTTTAATAATAGAATACTTATGAATCTTTTTCTATCAAAGGTGCAAAGCAAGAAAAAACTTTTTTAGTTAGAAATGTGCTTATGAATCTAACTTGAGTAAATATTAAGGTATTAAAAAGAATATTACTTTAGATATAACTTAAGTTTTTATAAAAATCTTCAAAATTTTGATCTTCTTCCATTAAACTTCTCTAATGTACTTATCTTTGAGTCTTTTTTGTTTATAATAGAAAGACTTCTTGGATTCAATTGTGAGGTTGATCTACTTATTTTTCTTAACTACACAACTTCTTAGTATAGACCTTGAATCTTATAATTGACTTCTTCAATGGACATAAGGATGATACTTTTATGATTGACCTTAGAAATATGTAATATTTTCATTCTAAGAATGTTGAGAAGCTTATAAAGATCTACAATAATTGCAAATCTATTCTTACTTTTGTAAAGTGGAGAATTCGTAACCTCTCCTTCTATCTCTTCAAAACATAACAAACAAAGTATGGTATTTCACTTACTTCTAAAACAAAATAAAAACATTGAAATAGCATTCTTATCAAGTAATTAGGAGAATAAATTATAAAAATTAAAAACCTCAATATACTATTATATCACTCAATATATATATATTAAAAAATAATATAATATTTAAAATAGAATAACTATTATTAAAAACAAAAAGATTAGGGACACTTGAAATAAGACTAAGAACAAAAAAGACATTAGTGAAAGTGAAGAAGGCTTCACTCTTACTTCCATATGTACTATCTAATTATGAGCTATGTGACTATGTTTAATAAGACCTCCTACACGTGTCCAACTTATAAGATACATCTCAAACTTGTAAGACAAGTTTTCTACATATGTGCCACATGGCCAACTTATATCACAAATTACCAACATGTGTAACATGTGGCCAACTTGTTGATCAAGATTCCAACCTATTAATTAGCTACAAATACAAATAAAGTCAAATTTACATCTATAAAGCTTCTAAGAAGCTTTTCCATAAAATCTTATCAAATCTATCTTCATTTATCTTCTACCTAATATTTCTTATTTAAATAATTATATATGTTTTTAATAATGATTTATTTAAAATTAAAGCAATTTCATCCTTGAGTTATTAAATCAATAGTTTTAAGTGACATTAGTCTTTTTTATAAAGTTTGTTTAAATGAACTAATAGACCTTTATATTTTTGATTTTAAAAATCTTCTTCATAATGATTTTAAAGTATTTTATTTTAATAATAATATTCTTTATTATAGAAGAAATTTATATATTTCAAAAAATTTAATACAATTACATGTACTTCAATTATAATATGACATTTTGGATACAACAAAAAATTTGAATTAATTTCAAGAGATTTTTGGTAGTCTTAAATATAGAAATTTATCAAAGAATTTTTTCTATCTTAAGACACTTATTCTTTAGCAAAAACTCCATATCATTGATTTTGAAGATTTTTTAAATCTTTATTTAATTTAAATTAGTCTTAATTATTATTTTTAACAGAATTTATTGCAAATCTTTTAATTTCAAATTCCTAAGATTTTATTTTTGTATTGGTAGATTTTCTAATAAGAATAAAGCATTTCGTACCTTATACAAATTCATCAATAATAATAAAATAATAACTTAGGTATTTTATATATAATTTCTATTAGTATTGCAACTTTTTTAGTGATATTAAATCTAGTTATAGACTCAAGTTTTTGTGAAGATTTTGAAAGATATTTTTTAACATATTAAAGATTAAAAATTAGTTATGTTTAGTTTTTTAATCCTTAAACTAATTAAAAAATAAAACATGTGAATCAAGTTCTAAAAACATACTTGTGATTTATCATTAATTATCATTTAGACAATTGGATAATTTTTTTGTTATTAACAAAATATTTATATAATATTATGATATACCTTCTTTTAAAATAAGTACTATTTTTTATTTTTATAATCTATAATTTGATAATTTTGACTTTTTTAAAATTAAAAATTTAAGAACAAAAAATTTATCAAGTAGAATAGCAAAGCTTCACATAATAATAATGATGTAGGTAAAGAATGTCAAAGAATGATAAGAAGAAAATAATGATTTTCTTAAAAAATAATAAATTTTATTTAAATTCATTCATAAGATGTGATTAAATATTGTAATATTAAGACCAATTGACCTTGTAATAACTTGGATTGCTAGTAACTTAGCTTATTTGTTATTCATAAACAAACTAATCTAGTTGCATATTGATTACAATTATCATAGTCACTAAAGATTTATTATATATTCCATATATTTTTCAATAAACCTTATACAATAATCAATATATTAAAAAAAATATATTTATCACTACCTCTTTTTGAAATAAATAACTATCTAAAGTTTAAAGTAGAGATTGTTTTTAAATTTAAGACAATATCAAAATAAGTTTATAATATCTAATAAATTTTTGCAAACATAATATTAATGAATGTATATAAATGACATAGAAGAATCTTATAGATGAGTTA